GGGGGGGGGGGGGGGGGGGGGGGGGGGGGGGGGGGGGGGGGGGGGGGGGGGGGGGGTCAGAAGAAAATTGGTCGTGATGATTGCCCTGCTCGCAACCGGTGAAACATGTGTCATGACCAACCATTAGAGATAAAATCCATGGGGTCGTGGTTCGTATGCTACTGATTTAGATAGCGTTGTGCGTCCTGCGATGTGATGCAAATGTCTTGCTGCCGGTGTCCTCTTGGGCAAGACTAAGTGGGAGGCGTCCGAACTACAGGTTAGAGCGTGTATTCAAAACCAACATCAGCCAGCAACCGGGTGGTTCAGTTGGAATTCATGGTACAGAACGTTGTGACTCCAGACATGTTCCGGGTTCCATCTCACTGGAGTGAAAAAAATGGTAGACACCGCAATCTAGAGATGGAAAGGGCGTAGCCGTGAGCACACACAGAGAAAGAGGGACCGAACGAACGGACGAACGACTCAAAGCCTGCCGCTCCGCGCTACAAACAGCAGGCACGCACCTTCAGGGAAGTGGTGAACCTGCATGTGTGTGACCTCATGGTGCATCCAACACACCGAAGGTATAGATACGCATAAGCAAATGGATGTGGCGAGTACCATCACAAGACACTGAAGGGTGGGCATTGCCATCCTTAGGGCAGCGGTCGGGACCGGGGCTAGCGGCGTCAAGACCGCACGCCTCCATCATTGTGATAGCGGGTTCATACTGTTTTTTCCGCCCACGGCAGGCACCTGCTGAATCCTCGTTCGGCGATGAATACAACAGGCAGCCCGTGCCACACTTGTGTCAAGTTCGAACGGCTCAATTGGCGGAATTTTTAACCCAAACCACCAGGGTTGGGAAGTGGAGAGCTTATCACCCGCGCTATGTTTCCTGCTGCGTCTACTGCAGTTGGAGGTATGCTATGCTCATGTTTAATGCATCTACGGGATTATTCTGTGCAGCAGCAGGACATTCCCACCATGGCTACTCTTGACAGTCTTGACGCGGAAACTATTACATTGCAGGAAGAGACTGATGTTCTTGCGGTTGTGCACAAGCTGGAGGCTTATGCTAAATATATGAGTACTATGCATATAAGTATAGGTAATCTCCTGCTTCAAGTTATCACCGGGTTCGACAGTTAAGGACAGCGCCGACCGCGCGAAACAGGCACTTCACCGATCTTCATGCAGAGCCAGTGCCACCTTTGCCAGGGGGCCGGGGCCGGCGCGATTTGAGCTGTGGGTGAGCCGCCGCCGATCCACAGACGGTCTCACGGAAATATTTTTCGGATGACAACAAAGGCCACACACAAAGCATTCCCTGGAAGGAGAAACCTAGCATATGCCACACATCAAGCTTGCAAGTTCTTCACACAAGCGGTGAGCATCGACCAAGGGAGGAGTTCCCCTGGAATGCTGCTTACTCCTCTGGCGCCGGCGGTGTCGGCGACCCCACTCTGTCGTTGTAGATAGATACGGGGCTGGATCGAATATTGTGTGAGTGTGTTTTCCTTGTCTATCTTGCTTGCAAAACCGAACCGCGCGCGTAAAACGGCGCTGGCACACGATCCTAAAAGCAAGCGAGATGTGACAACACCACCGAGAAACAGGACGGATACAGAGAGAACAAATACACACTCACAAACGATTTAGTAACAGCCTCTCTGCCTCAGGGGGCTGAGACTTGAACGAGGTGCGCTCCTGCTGTATTGGCTGCTGGCCCTCTCTCTCCCGAGACGATGACGAGAACTTGTTGTTCGCCGTTGGACACAAGAAATATCACAGGCCCGTCGTTCCACCGAATACGCTTGCCGCCTCTCCTCTCCCCCCTCGCGTTTTCAACCCTGCGCAGCTCTTTACTAGCTCAAGGGGCGTCTCTGTGGATGTATGGCTCGCCACAAGAATCACTTGCCGCCTGCTTCCGGTGTGCGCTCAGAGTCGTCCACACGCCCCTCTTTTTCTCCCGTGTTTTCCGGAGGTGCGCGTGCAGGGTTCCTCTACTAAACATACCCGTACAAAATAATGCCTCCAACACCTTGAACATTTCCGCGGATTGGGTGTATAGGTGTATGTTCTTGGTTGGTGTGCCCCCACGAGGGCGCCGACAATGCGTCACAGCTTGCCGTGGCACCTTTGCTACCCCGTGGCGCCTCTCTTCTTGGTGCAGCGTTGAGTGCGATTTGCGTCAAAAAACCGTTCATCACTCGCTGGCTCAACATCGTTGCGATCCGGGTGGTGGTTGGTTTTGAAACACAAATCAAGGCGCAAATAGCAGCAGCAGACAGCCGTTTGTTGGCAGCAGCAGCCAGCGAAACAATGGCCGACAGCAAGAAGAAGTCCCGGAAGGAGCGGCAGCGCGAGCTCCGAATGCTGGAGAAGGACATCTCCGGCGGAAAGTCGGTGATAGACTACGGCAAAGTCAACGAGGTGGGTGGGCGATTTTCGTTTTCTGCTTGTTTTTTTTCTTGAGACACCAACGACAGCGTTTTGGGGAACTAATTTTGAATTGACAGGGGCAGCGAGCGTGGCGCGTCGTCTGGCTCGCTTGCACCATACTTGTATGGCGGGCGAACAGCATCTCCTCTGCCGGCCTCTGTCACCACATGTCATCGTGTATTTCCACCCGATGGCGTCTCGATTGGAACGTCTGTCAGTGGGCGTTCTTCCCGCATCACACGTATTTATGACCCATAGTTGTTCAAAGGAGAGCATGGCCTCTACTCAACATGCGCGCTCCCAACGTCCGCAGAAGTTGGCCGAGACACAACACGTACAGACTGCAGTGGCCCGCCGACACCGTCGTCGTTGGAATATGTGGTACGCAGAAGAGCGACGGCGGACAAGAGTTGTTCGTGAACTTCCAGCACCATCGACCAATACCTGCTTTGTATCGCGAGTTGGTTGATGGAGTCCCTTATCACCTGATTTTCACGTGATATTTCCCTCGTCCTGCGGTTGCCTGCGGTAGGCTTAGGCCCATTATGCGGGCATAGCTTTTAGCATAAATGGCCCTTTTGAGCATAAGAAAAAGCATAACTAAAAAGGAGCAATGCTCGAGCATATTTCAGCCCCGAAGGAGCATATATGCACGCGCGACGAGCATACACTGCTGCATAATGAGCATAACGCTCATAGATAAGGGCATTTCGGTGCTTGACACATGGCCTGAGGGCGCCTGGTGTTCGATCGTTCGATTATTCGGGTACTTCGACATAGACAGAGACAAACGATGAGATAATAATGGACAAGTGTTTTTAAGCAGCCAGCAACGTGCGCGCACATGCACGCACACACACGGGCTTCCCCTGCGGATGTCATGACGCGCTCGGCGATAAGCTCTAGCTCTTCCAGCTCTTCTAGCTCTAGCTCCAGCTCTAACTCCAGCAGCTCCAGCTCCAGCTCCAGCTCCAGCTCCAGCTCAAGCTCCAGCTCAAGCTCAAGCTCAAGCTCGAACTCTTCTAGCTCGGAGTCTGATGCGCCAGAGGTTCAAAAGATCGTGCAGACCTCCAACCACAGCAGATCGCACCCAACAGGTCGTGCTCCCGCGACAGAAAAGGATACGAGGGATCCCCCACCAAAAGATCCCTCGTCCCGTGGTGCGGCGGGTGCGGTTCAGCAAAGCATGTTCAGCTTTTTGCCCAACGCAAACGCCGCACAGCGAAAGCGCAACACGACACGCCAGCAAGAGGTGGCGGCAGCAGCGGCGAACCCGACAGCACCCGCTCGAGCGTCCCACATCGATAGGCGTAGGGTTGTGAGGGTAAACCGCGAACGGAGGAAACAACGCGTCGATGATGGTGAGGAGGGGGATGACGAGGAAGAGGAGAAGGAGGAGGAGGCAACGGTGGGCAGCAAGCGCAAGCGTAAGTTATCATCGGCCGCGGCGGGGAAGCAGCGCGCTGTCAGATCGAGAATCAGTGCCTACGACAGGCTGAAGGAGTTTCCGAACCACACTCTGGAAGTTCGCTGCGGCGTCCTCACGTGCGCGGCCTGCAACAAGCCGATAGACATGAAGAAGAAATCAACCGTGAGGAACCACGTGTCCGGCGTGGAGCACGGCAAGGCAACGAAGGACTACCGCCGGAAGAAAGAAGCAAAGCAGGTATTTTTTTTTCAAGCGATAGAAGACTAGGCTGGATACTGTAGCTCTACACAGCAGCACACTATCGTGCTTTGTGGTGCTGGAGTCTACATGTGCAAAATATTTTTAATACACTAGACTAGTCTAGCCTAGTGTACTTTTGTTTTAGTACTCGTCCATGCTATTTTAAATGTGCTGCTGCTGATTGCCGTTGTTTATTGTTTGTATATTTCAACAGTGGATCAACCAGTGTAGCACAGAAGGGACGTCTGACTTCACGGTGTTTTTTTTCCTTCGCTTTGTGTTTCGCGGCTCACGCTGTCATATAGGAGTATATTGCCGTGCCGCTGCTCTGTTTTTATACGTTTGTTCGCTGATGACGCTGTTGCCAAGTGCTAGATAGTACCAAAACGAAATGGCCAACACTAAACTCCGGGACTGACGTTGTTGAACACGACTTTGCTCGAACGCACGGTTATCTTTCGCCTTTACAGGCGTCTCTGGATAATTTCCGAGAGTACTCTGACTTGCTCGGAGGCAGCTACGGCAGCAAGCTTCCTCCCAAAGAACAGGCGACGCAGTTCATGGCAGTCGAGGCGTGCCTGTCTGCCGGGGTCCCTCTCAACGCCCTCGAGAATTCACTGATGAAGGATTTCCTACACCACTTGGGGGCGAGGCTGCCGGGAGCACGGCACCTTGCCAACTACATCCCTTTCATCGAGAAAAAGGAGGTGAGGCCGAGCCGTCTTGCATACGGGGCTGCCTTGGATCGTCGACATGACCGCAACGAGTTTGTGTCTGTATTTATTTGGCAAGTTTGTAACTTACCCGCCTCTTGGAATCAACGCGTGAAAAATGTTGTCCCTTACCACTCGTGCAATCGTCGAACGGCCCGACTCCCAATGTGTCCCCTGCACGACAGAAGCAGCGGATTCTCGACGAGGTTGGGGACTCCCGGTATGCGATCACATTCGACGAGACGCCGTACCGCGCTGCGTGCTTCGGGATTGGTATCCGTTTCGTCAACAAGGAAGGACAGGTACTAGGTTGTGCCGTGATGTAGATGGTTCAATTCGCGTAGGGAGGTGATACGTGCTTTTCAGCTGGAGGGTAGGGTACCGTACGAATGGTTCGTGAAAAAGTCATGCACAAGGTCGCTTTGTTTCAAACCTCTCTTCTGATTCGTCTCTTTCTCCTTCCCCCGCCCTCCCTGCCTCTCTCTCTTTCGCTTTCTTTCTCGTTCTTCATGCCTTTTTGCCGGCAGATCACCCAGCGAGTGCTTAACTTGAGCATGCTGAGCAAGTCCATGGACTTCAAGGCCATCCACGGCGAAGTCATGAAGATCACGGTGGACGAGTACAAAATAGACCGCAGCAAGTGCGTCGGTTTCATGCTCGACGGATGCGGCGCCAACATGAAGGCCCTGGACACGCTGCTGCTGAACTTCCCGAACGCTGTCGGCGTTCGGTGCTTCTCCCACCTCCTCAACAACTGTGGCAACGAGCTGAGCTCGGAGGAGACCGACAAATTCGCTGGCCACTTGCACGTACTCCTGGCCCATAGCCACAACGCTAGAGACTTGTGGTTGCAGGAGACGAAGGTGTCGCCTCCGAAACCCGTTTCTCACCGCTGGAGCTCGCGTTACGTGCGGAACAACGCCTTGGTGCTGAACTGGCAGCAGATGAAGACCTTCGTCGACAAGTTCACCTCGACCGAAGAGTCCAGGTCCAAGTCGGCCGCTGCGATGAGGGAGGAGCTCGGGCGTGTTCGGCCGGATGGTGTCCACCAGGAGCTCATCTTGCAGCTGGGATTCGCGGTAGCTGTGGACGTCGGGATCCACCTGGTCCGTCCCACCCATCTACTCGAGGGAGACGGATTCCTGGTAAGCACTTACCCGAGAGGCCCTTATATTTCGCACCTACCTTTCGTAGGTGTGGTCGTTCGGTGTTCGTCATCTGCCGCTATATGTTATTGATGTGTTCCCTTCCCGTACCGTCACCCCTTGCCACCGATAGCTACCTGAGGCGTACGATGCCATCGTGAGTGTGCGCAAAGGTCTGGCCCTGACCTTGGACAGCAACGTCCCTCCGCGGTTTGAGGACAAGGTGAACATGCCTAACGTGAACGCGCTCGTGAGGGAGTACTCCAACAGCGTGAACGCCAACGTGAGTATTTCGGGAGTCCGTTTGTGGAAGTTGCTTGTGCGACCAGAAATTGTTGAGCTGTGTTCGATGACGCCCCCTCCATGATCACAACACACAACCATCACGTCACCTCCTCCTATTGACGCCCACTTCGTGTGTTTGTACTGTTCATGGGTTGCAGGAGTCGGTCAAGAAGTGGCTGAGGGAGAAGGCACTCTTCGACATGCATGCCGTCCGGCAGTACGCGTTTGACAGGATCGGGGACCACCCAGGAGCCAAGGAACGCAATGCTATTCGGGTCTTCAAGGCCGCGAGAATCCTGAACTTTAGGGTCGTGACGGGGCACGGAGTGGAGGAGTCGGACGTACACGTCCTAGCAGAAGTATTTCCGTTCGTGACAACGGCCATGGTCCATGAGCTCGTAGTAGAAAAGGATCTCTACAGCACCGCGGCGGCTGGCACGGACTCGGGGTGTGATTTGTGGGCTTTCTGGCATGACAACAGGCTTAAACTCCCTGCTTGGTACAATGTAGCCAAGGACGTAGCTTTGATCCAACCCTCTTCCGCTTTCATGGAACGGGTGTTTTCTCTGCTTCGTGCTTGCATGGACGAGCGGCAGGAGCAGTGCCTCAGCGACCGGATTACGGCATCAACCCTTCTCAAGTACAACAGGGCTTCCAGTGCTAGAAGCTAGAAGGCATTCTTTCATCGTTGCTAAAAGTGCTGCTGACTTTGCCTGCAGCTGCTTATGTAGCGCCGCTTCTTCCCTTCGGTGGCTCGACTGTTTTTGTCTCTCCCTGTTTAGTTTTTAGGTGAGCGCAGCTCGTGTATCTGCTTTTGTATTGGGGAGAAGCTTTCGAAAGAGGGCGTCAAAGTGTGCTGTTTGCCACTTAAATGTCAGGAGTCGAGAGTTTTCGACATTCGAAACGAAGAGCATGATGATGAGGATGATGAAGAGCATTCACAGGTCTAATAGTGTATTGCAAGCTAACGGCCGCTCTTGCCGTTTGCCCATTTTTTTGGAGGAAAAACAGTCAATTTCAGCCAATGTACCCAGCAAAAGACAACAACAGAACACCTCCGGCTTCGAAGAGAAGATTGGGCGAGGCATAACTACCTAAAACAAGCAGGATAGCGAGCATGAAGTATCGAATTGAGGCACATGACCACCAGAAAAAAAAGCATAGCTAGAGCATAGGTCAGGGCATATTTGCAAAAAAAACGCACAATCGTGGGCATATTTGACTTGTTTCAGGAGCATAAAATAAGAAAAAAAAAAGCATAATGGGCCTAAGCCTAGCCTGCGGCACGTTTGGCGAGATCTCATGATGCTCACAACAACCTCTCAACGCCTCCTTCCAAGTGGAAACCCGAAAACGACCCATTTGTGCCTGCCTCCCTCTCCTGAATGACAGAGACATATGGACGACAAGCGGTTCGAAAGAGAGCTCAAGCACAAGGAGGTGCTGCAGAAGCAGGCGGACCAGGGCGCGAGCAAGGAGTCGGAGCAGGCCCCGAGCGCGACCTACGACGCCTTCATGCGGATGCAGACCGGGCAGGAGACCCGCACCATCGCGGACAAGATCAACGACCCCAACAGAGTGTCCTGGGAGCAGTTCCGGAAGGTGGGTTGTAAGCAGGCCACGGGCGCACGGAGCGGTTACAAGAGTAGATGAAGACCAGTCGAGTTCGAACCCCGACGCTCCCGGAACGGCTACGGTGGGTTGCGTGCAGACCACAGCCGCGCCAAGCGCCGATTGCTTTTTAAATTACATGCCAAGAAGAGTGCATGACGACGACAGGTCGACTTCGAAACCCGGGCGGCTATGTCTGCGACAAGCTTGGAAGTTGATCCCCATGCTTGGGATATCACCGTCTTGAGTGTGTTTAAACCCGTCCTGATGTAATCTATGGTTGGGCCGAAAGAAGCGCGTTTTCTGGGCAGCCCGGTGCGTCAGCACCACCACCACCCCCCATCCTCCCGTTTAACTGTCTTCAATTGATCCATGAACCACTCCTTCGCTTCCCGCCCAATCGCAGGACAACGCCGACAAGCTCGATATCCCCGGGGCCGACCGCAAGAAGATGGTGGAGTACCGAGCGCAGCTGGACAAGGAGCGGGAGTCGGCGCTTGCGAAGGGCAGGAACAGGCCCAAGCGGAAGGTGGGCGGCGGCTTGGGGGCTGTGTGACTGGTTCTGTGTGTAGGTTTTTCTGTTGTAGCTCGTATGAAACACGCTTTGGCCATTCAGGTCATCTTGTTCGGAGAAGAGGGCAGGCGAAGTCCCCCTTGTCTCGCAAGCGAGTCGCGGTTTGCCGTGACGGCGATCGCGAATACATAGCCTGTTGTCGATAAGCACCTTTGCTCTGTCAGCACAAGTTCGCACACAAGGCGGTGTTTCGTCATACGCCACCAGACTGGCGTGTCTTCATTCGTCGGCTACACCCGCACGCTCCCGTATTTTTTGTCCTGTTTTAAGTTAAGACTGACGTCGTTTCATGGGGTAACCGGTTAGGTCGCGATCGATTCCAACTGAGAAAACACACACACACACACTACATCGCACGTCTATTCACCTTTGTCCCGCTGTACGACTGGCGGTTTTTCATTCGTCAGCCGTTTAACACGGTGGGTGCCAGTTGTGCGTGCATCTCGGCACTGGAAACCTGCGCAGACGGAACGAAAGTCGTCCATACCGTAAGACTGGCTGCAGAAGATGACGAAAAACGAAGGCACGATATGCCGTCATGGGTTTGATCGGGGTAGTGCCAAGTATGAAGTCTCACCGCTCGGGGCATTGGTGTAGGCATGCTCATTTGTTTGTGTTATCCGCGTGCGTTCATTCGGCTCTCCCCACCCCCACCCCCAAGACGGGATACCGTTCGCACAGCTGTTTCTGACCCGGATAACAGGAGTTCTGATCCCTGGTATTTTATTAAAAAAGCAGTAGAAAATATGCTTACAATCAAATAGGAGTAAGACTTTACCCGTTCGAGATATAACGTCAGTCGAAGGGGATGGGTCGAAGTCTTCACAATGAGGAGGGGAAATAATCCGGCTTCACCATGAGAAGAAGAAAAATCCGGCTGGGTACTGGGCTCACTTTTTTGTGAGAAGGGCACCCCCACCGGCACATGGTCTTCTTTTTCCTTACCTCCGTGCCTTCGCCTGACGCGCGCGCCCGGCGTTTGTGGCAGCTCGGGGTCAGCTCTTCCGAGAGCGAGGGGGAGGGGGACGACAGGAACGGCGGCGGCGGCAGTGACAGCGAGGACTGCGGCGGGTCTAGCTCTAGGCGAAAAAAGCATAAGAGCAAGAAGGACAAGAAGAGCAAGAAGAGCAGCAAGCACAAGAGCAGGCGTAAGGGGAGCAGCAGCAAGAAGTCGTCCAAGAAGTCATCGAAGAGAAGGTGCGGGGGAGCCACCGAGAGGAGTTGGGTGTTTGCGTGAGACATGAGGCTTGTATGATTTTCCCGAAGTCAAGGCGTGTGGACCTTCTGCCCACCCCCTCCCTTTCCGCCCCACTTTGTGGAAATTGTGCAATGAAGCAGACGGAAGAAGACAGGGAACCGATGGCGAAGTCCGAACGCCGAACGCCGAAGATGATGACGGGAAAAAGCAGACCCAGAACACGCATAATTTTTTTTTGTTTGTGTGGTATCCTTGCCCTCAATTCGGGGTTGTCACGACCCTCTTCAGTTTTTCCTTGTCCCACTCCATGTTACCGCCCACGGAGTTGTTCCAGATGTCGACCAATGCCCGGTGGCGTGCTTTTCGCTTGTGTTTGTGTTCGCGTTTCCTGTTTGGGGCAGACCGTGCTCCTAGCACGTGGCTGCGGTAGTGTTGTCGTGGATCCCGTTTTCGGGCTTCGGTACGGCATGCCTGGGGGGGCTCTGCCTGTATCTTCTCCTGTGCTTTCCGCCTTTTTGCGTAATTTCTGAACCAGTCGTCATGGATGTTTTGGCCCCGTGTGTGTGCGCGCGTGCTTGCTTGCGGGGATTCCAGGAAGGGCAGCGGCGGGGACAGCGGGGACAGCTCCGACAGCGATACAGACGCCGATTCCGAGGAGAGCAGGAAGCGCCGCAGAAAGGACAAGAAGAGCAAGAAGAAAGAGGAAAAGGTATGAACGCCACACTTCACTTGATATTGCCAAGCCGCTTGAGTTGCTCGTTTTGCTCTTGTTCTCCCCTATCTCGGCCCACCACAGTTTCGCCTCTTGTGCGACGGCTACATATGCGCGAAGCCGTGTGTCTTGTCAAGTGTCTTTGGGTGCCTGGTACGTGTTTTTGATTCGGTCTTTCACGGAAGGACTCTTGCCTTGTTGATTCCCGAACAGCCTCCTCAACCGTCCTTCTGAGAGTGTGCGCACCGTTCTTTGAGGGCAACGGCTGATCAGCCCAACGCACCGAGTACGTGTAAAAGAGAGCGGCCTACGCCGCCGTGGCACACTGGACATCACATACGCCGAGCGCGCCTCGAGCCTAGCGTGTACCGCACCCCGCTTGATGCTGTTCAAATCGAAAAAGACGGGATTTGAACCCGCGACCATCGACATGACAAACCGACCCTCTTCTTACCCGCAAAGGAAAGTAGTCAACCACCTGTTGCGGCTAGCGAGGCCAGGGTTGGTCTACCCACACGGAAGTATGTTTATTATGATCTTGAGATTGGTCATGCGTGGGGGGGTCTGTACATGGCATCCTCAACCCTCTGTGCTGTGTGCCCGTGCCTTTGTTATTGTTCGTTTTATCCCTTCCCTCATCCGTTGCCCCTACCCTCGTATTGTCACCCTTGACCGGGCCCAGCCAAGGTTCGCAGCGTTCTAACTTTCGCAACAATTCCTTTGACTCGTCCCTCTCTTCTTTGAGTATGTCTGTCTCTCCCCCCNCCCCCCCCCCCCCCCCCCATCTCACTATTTCTCTCTTTCTTCCGTCGTTTTCTGTGGCAAGGAGCCCGAGGCGAAGGGCGCGGACCCTCGGCGATTGTCGGCGTTCCTCCAGGGATCCTCCGGCAGCGACAGCGACTAAAAAGCGACAGCGAATCATCTTGTTGCGGATTGTTCCCCGGTGTGTGCCGCTCCGCCGCCTAACGGCGCCGTTCCCAGTACCACGCCACGTAGGGCCCCTCTCCTCGTCTACCTGCCTCGCTGGCCTGCCTTCCACCTCGGCAGGCGTTGTGCCAGGATGTGCTTGGATGAATGGGGGAATATTCATCGGCCGCGGCGTATGAGTCGCGTTTGCGTTCGCAGCGTGAGGCATGCGTTTCGTTCGAGACGCCAACTAGGCCCACAAGAGCACGATTCCAATTTAGTCTAGGCCTAGTCGGCCGGGGGAGGGAGGTTTAACGGTGCTGTTCGCCAGGCTTTGGTTGCCAGAGCTTCGGCTGTTACGGTTTTTTCAAACAACGAAACGTGCACTGAAGCAGACCACCAACATTTGGGTGAAGGCGCTCGTTCTCTCTCATTATGATGTTCCGTTGAGAGCTCCCTGGCGCCTCAAGGGTGTGCGACGACAAGACCGGTGTAGCACTGCTGTATCGGCTTGAGAGTTTTGGTCGTTGATTTGGTTCCCCTCCGGAACGAAATGCAGGTGCGAGTGTAGTGCAGGTGCGCTGTGAACCTGCGATGCCTGACCAGAGTTGGGTGGTCCCTGCGCACAAGCTTTTCGTTGTGTTGTCTCTCGTGCCACTCTTGAGAGGGAGTGTAGAGAGAGCCACAAGCGTTTCAAGCAGAACATGGCAGGTCATAGAGAGACTGCCAGGAGCAGTCATCAGCAGCAGCATGCGGGTAACGAGTGTGGCCTGAGTGCGCCACATCCTACGGATTTGTGAGCATCGCGGTCTCCAAGAGATCAGCTTGTATACTTAGAGACAAGCGCCCACGTCAAGTGCGGACGGTGTGGTTCTCCCCGTGTAGTTTGGGCGGTGAGTGCACACACCCGACTGTGAGAGTTGGTGTAAGAGGTTAGCGATTAGTCATCCGCTGTCGTCACACTCGGCGTTGGCCGTAGTACCAGGTTCGATCGTCACAAATAAATGGTGCTTGTTGACAAATAAAATCCCAACGTGACGATGTGTTTTGATGCGTCAGCCACGCCGCCCATCTCCGGTCCTCACGAATAACGTTAACTTTCGAGCGTCACAAAGCTATGATATGGGCAGATTCGAATCCTCGCAGTAACCACGTTGTTCCTATGTGTTTGCAAGCAAGTATCAGCCAAGCCGCCGATGACCGATCCCCACGCTAACCAACCTTTCTTCGAGGCGCCCAGGACACCAACAGAGGGGTTGCCCCGGAAAACACTGCTTTTGCCGGGCACATTCGGTGTTGGCTGGTGCCATCTCATCGGTTGTTTTTGTCTTTCGATTGTTGAGCTGTTGGTGTATGGAGAGGGTCTCGGTGCAATAATACACGAAAATAGCCACGGTCATACCGGATCTTCCACCCGTCAGCGTTACATAGAGGTCGTCTGCGTTCAAAGAACCTTTTGGAGTCCGAAAAACGGGCCGCTGAGACTATGTCAGCTGGACTGTCTGATGTGGAGCAAGATCCCTGTCTTGCGCAGCGATGGACGGACCTGTGCATAGGCCTGTCCTCCATCGGCCGTTTTATTTTCGATTTAGATACACTAACTTTATTTCTGTACTAATTTCAAGTAATTCCACCTTCTTATTCTCCGTCATACAAGCAAAACGGCCGATGGAGGACAGGCCTACCTGTGCAAATAGATAATGTCCTTTTCCTCTCAGTTTTGGGTCTTCGTTCTTGTTGTGTGGTGTGTATCTCTATCCTAACCAGTTCGAAAGGTCTGTTCCCTTGAAATTAACGCGGTTCGCGTCACGAAACGTGGACGTATATGCGGTCTAACTCACGCACGCCCATTTTCTTCCCCATGAGACGAAATCTCGTTGATCCTTGCGAAACAAACATTATTGTCGTAGGTCGAGCCTTCTGTGTCTCGAAAGGCGTGCATCGAAATAGCTTTCGCAACCCGTGGAGGTGTCCTTGATCGGAACGGGCGTGTCAACGTTTTGTTTCCACCTCCCCCCAAAAAACGCCAGCTTGAAAAACCTATTCAAACAATATGACTTCAGCAAGCTAGACAGGTCACTTCTGTCCCTCCGAGCTAGGCGACTCCGGGGATGAATCTCTGTCGTCCCCTCTCGTTGGGGGCGTGTCTTTTCGTCGGGTTGTCTTGCCGGCGATATCGACGAGGTTGAGCTCCATGACATTGTCCTCGTTGACGACGTGGCAGTCGCTCTCTCCGATGCGGTTGGTGATCTTCTCGATATCCCACCCATCGGCACCGTCTCCTGCCTCCTCGAACCACCTTACAAAAAAAATGACAAGGTGTACGCACACAAGATTCATAACTTGGTGACAGAGGCAAAAGTGGGCAGACGCACACCTTCAACAACGCGGCAGCAGCGGCAGAAGCTGCACGCCAGGCACTCGGGACTGCAAAGAAATCTGGCATCATGCCACAACGACCGCTTCACAGTGCGCCCGGTGATCTTTTCTGTGCAGAGAGGGACCGGGGCGACGTGGGGGGCACGAAAGCATGCGGCGTGAAAATATATCGATAACTAGATGATCGCGGTCAACCTGGGCGTACCGGACACTTTTTTCGCGCCTCCGCACACAACACGATCTGTTGGAAGTCGTAGAGGCAGTCCGGAAGGGTGTAAAAGTAGGGGACACGGAAACGTCGGTTTCAGGAATGCTGCTTGCGGATGATTTTGTCGGTATGTCGGACACCCCTGAGGGACTGCAACTGCAAATTGACGCGGCGAAGAAGTTTACCGATAAGTGGAGATTGTCTGCCAACGTTAAGAAGAGTGCCGTCATGGTATGCAACGAGAACACGGAGGAACCAGCTGAACATAGATGGACGTGGGGGATCGAGGAGATTACAGTAGTGGACGAGTACACATACCTCGGAGTAGAGATCGCAAAAGACTGTTCGTGGAATGCGCACATGTCCAAGGTAGCGGAAAAGGGCAAAGCACGAGCAGGGAAGCTGCACCCAATACTCGCAAACCGGCACCTCGACACACGCATCAAATTGACGATTTTGAAAAGCGTAATCTTACCGCCGCTAGAGTACGCCGGAGAAGTATGGGAAGGAAATAAGAAGGTAGTGAATGAACTCGAGGCGGCGCAGATGAAAGCAGCGAAAATCATCCTTGGATGCTCCAAGCGCACAAGTAATGCAGCCGTCAGGGCAGAATTGGGGATCCAATCCCTACGGTCGGGAAGGGACGCGAGGAAGCTGATATGGCAGTATCGCAGGTGCGGGATGGGAGAGGAGAGGTTGCCGAGAATTGTATGGAGGCGAAGTGGGCAAACAAAACGAGGGGTAGGCAACCCACGGAATGGGTCAAGATTGTAGAGGACGCATGGAAGGGGCTCGACATCGACGAAGATGAAACGCTAGAAACGGAGGGTCTACAGGGGTTCCAGGAGAAGATATCTGTTACTTGTGCCGAGAGAGAAGAACAGAATCTAAGGAAAGAGTCAGAGGATAAGGA